CAGTAACAGTGCTGTTCTGGAGTGATATATTGGATAAGGGTGGTTAGAGCCAAACGAGTGCTGTAAACAGAGCTGTGTAATGCTGGGATTATGTAAGGATGGAGCCATTTGCCATGTCATCTGATCCAGATGGTAACTGTAGGGTGGGAGGAAGAAAGGCCGTTAGCGAGGTAGCATTCAGACATTGATGTGTAGGTGAGGTGATCCACCGAGGAAGGCACTGTGACAGGAACTGGCAGTTGTAGCCAAAATTCTGTGGTGGGGACGGTACCACAGCATCGGATTCATGTTGTCTCAGTTCTCTGCAGCACATGAGCAGTCGGTCCTCTCTGCAGCACGATAAGCTCAGCTTTTCTTGCTGCAGGGGACCTGACGCTCATAAATCAGTGTAGTATCCTTGAGGTTGCCGTTTGATTAATTGCTTGTCCCACGAGATCTTTGTGTGGGCCTGCATTAAGGCTGTTGCCATCATGCGTGGTTCAGTATCTTTCTTGAATCTTCCATCTCTAACCTGTGACCCTGCGTGGGGGAGCTGCATGCTTCATGCTGGTGCAGTTAGAATTTCTCTCAAATCAATGCATGGGGTCCTTGCATGTTTTGAAGTGGTGTAGTCTACACGGGGTGGTGGTAGAGGATCTCTGAACTAGATAAGAGAGAACAGGGCTGGCCAGTGTGAACTGTGGAGCCGGTTGGATGGTGAGTACCCGGCTCCTCTGCAGCAAGGCATCATTTAGGTGACAGGCGGGTCATGATGCAGTGCCACCTCCTTGTTTCTGAGAAGCTAACGCTTTTGTGATGGAGAATTGGTCAGCCAGCGTGCCTGTATCGGTGGTGTCAGTCTTGCATGGGATGGGGAAGAGTCTAGATTTGGTGTTTCCACCACAGCAAAGTTAAACTGAGAAACCTGCCACTTTGGGTTGCATGTGGTGCTGTGTATGGGAAACCAACCCATTTGAAGACGTCTGCCAGCCTGCAGTGGAGCTGCCTTTCTGCTAAAGCCATGCACACCGGTGTGAACCACCGAAGCAGCTTGACATGAACTCCCATAGTATTTTTTACTAACACTGAAAAGTCTTTCGATTTTGAATAGCTTGTAAGGCCGAGAAGGCCTATTATGATCAGCTATATTTGGTCTCTCGTAGGACAAGCCAAAGAAATGTACTCAATGTTAATTTTGGTACTGAGGCGTATAATCAGCGTATTCTTCTCTGCTGTGTGCTTTTTGTTCGGTCCGTCATGATTTTGATGTCGTGCCATCTTCAGAATGGTTGATCTCTGGTTATTTCTTCTTGATTTGCCGCCTCCTGCAGAAATCACAGCAAACCTGAAATTAAAGTAGCCCTCTCTGTGTGTGCGTGTGGGTAAGCATTTTTAAAATACCTAAATTTAAGCAAAGACTTGATTTGCATACTGTTTGAAGTAAATTGCTTGGACCTGGCAATTGCAAGTTACCAAAGTATTTGGGGATGCTGACTTACAAAAATAAAATCAAACTGTTTTACAGCAGCAATTAAATGTGATTTCATGATATAGCCTTTAATTATGTCATTGCTCTCTTTCTATCAAAAGAGCAGAGAATGAAGCAGAATATGTCCAGCTGAATGAAGGAGAGAAAAGAAACGTAATTTGAAAAGAGATGTTGTTCAAACATGGATAAAAAACACTTTTGCAAGATATCTTCTTTATTATTTGGTAGCTCACACTGCCTAAGTGGTTGAAAAATTGTCCAAAATCAATTGTGCCTATTACATAAGAGTACCGCGCCCAGTATAACGAGTTTTAATGAATAAACAGTGACTCACACATCGTAGACATTGTTTGAAGATGTAATATCTCAGGAGGGGATTAATTTTGTCTTACTCGAGTTCTTAAAAGTCGGGGAACTCTGAGCTAGTCCACGGTTTTCCATTGTTTTTAATGATACCTAGTTCCTATGTAGGCTCTAATAGTTAGAGCTGTGCTTGATGCCTTGCAGTGGGTATAAGCCAGATGAAAGTCCCTGCTGAGAGAAGTCCTCCCTCTCTGTACAAAAGCTGAGTTTAAAATGGAGCACTTAGTTTTGTGACATCAACAAAGTCCAGGTGTTGTGCAACGTGGAAAATGTTTCGGTTTCAAGCCATCAGTGTTCCTTGAGAATACCTCTTAATTACTTAATTATTAGTTATCCTTTTGAAGTCAATATTAATGAAACCTACCTTGGCAGTACCGACGCTTTTATTTTAATGTCAACAAACCACGTAGTCGTCAAAATCTGTGGGTCACAAGATCGGTCTGACAGCTCCATCCTGTATATCAAATCAGTGTTGATTGCCACAGTGGCTGTACAAATAACTTAGTCAAAATGCTTCCATGGAATGCCCTCTAATGTAGTTTTAAGAGGTCTGGAAGTCTAATAGTAGCATTTACAAGCTTGTGCTCAAGTTGGAGTCTTGCTCAAGGGTGGCTTCTAGTTACCTGAGGTCACGTGCCTGAAGACTTTGTGGGAGTCAAATATGTTTCACACACCATTTTGGAGACTGAGGTGTTGGTGGGTTTTTTTGTAGAAAAGACCACAAGATGCGCTATAAAAATGTGATTATGCACTGCAGCTTGGCGCTCTTGTGTTCTAGAGGGGCTGCACTGGAGTTTAATTATTATAGTTTTAATTATTCTTGAGAATAATTTTTGAGGAGTGATCTCCTTAGCTACATGCTGCAGTTCTAGGATTTTTTTTTATTTTATTTTTTTTTTAGGAATTTCAATGTGAAGGTTGCTTGTGGATATATAAGTCTTTGCATGTTTGGGATAGGCCCAACTCTAGGTGAAGGAAACATCTTGCCATCTATTGCATGCATGACTTGCCAGTAAACTGCCTACATAAAACTAAACATTTGGACTGTATAGTCCTGTAGATGTCAGCAACAACTCCAGAATTATAATAACTTTTGGAATCTCTTAAGAATTGAGTGGCGTTTGAAACATAACCATAAAGCCCCATCCTACAGCCCCTGTTACTGTACAGTTCTGCTGGATAACGTGCAGGCTTCAAGTTTCTAGCTTGCAGAATGAAGGGCTTAATTTATAACCCATATTCCCTATTACCTAGGGAACACAAATATTTATATTTAAACTTTCAGTGATGTTATGTTACATTGGCTAGTTTCCTCATAATCATTATCGCTAAATATAACAGCTTTCTATACAGATTTGGAAGCAAAAGGTCATATATTATTTGAGATAAGGGTAATTTTCAGATGCTGTGTTTTGAAATTATTCTTGAAAATGATATTGCTAAGACATAAGATCTACTATTCTGTAAGATTAGACTGTTAAAGAAATATTGTAGAAAATGAAGTTCTCCCGGAAGAATCACTGTTATCCTTTGTTTTTAAAAGTTTTGGCATTGCTTCCTTTCGCCCCCCTTTACCTGCATGTTGAAATTTTTCTTATCTTGAGTTGGTTTGTCATAATTCTTTCTCCTTATTTGTTAAACCATAGTGCAAAAGACTTAAAGCCTAAAGAAGATTTTTGTAATATTAGAATTTGTTCTGAGCAGGGAGATAGAAGTTACAGCTTTTTAATAAAAAAATAACTTACATAAAAACTACATGTTTAAACTTTAGCATTTCTGATGTTAGTATAATTCCTTTTGCAATTTAGGAAAAAAAATAATAGGGTGATAATGTAACAGGTCCTTAAAGAACTGCAGCCTCTCCCTTGCTCTTTTACCAGGCACAGCTCATTTGTTTCACTACTAATTTCCTTAATTACTGTGGTAACAGTAGCTTTAGTCTGGATGCATGCAGGTTCCACAGCATGTTTAATTGTGTGCCTGAAGTCCTGTGAAGTGTCGGGGATGGTCAGGATCCCCAAAGGGAGCTTCATAATTAGCGGTGACCTCTAAGCTCAAATGTGGTGTCCTCTAAGCTCAAATAAATACCCTTCCTAGCGTTTGATTTCTACACCCAACTGGGATAAACCCCTCTTTTGGATTGTTTTAGGAATATTGGCTCCTTTTCTGACTTGCGTGTGGGTTACTGATCTGGGTGTTTAGAAGATATCTGCCAAATTTGGTCTCTTCAAGGGACATGGGCAAGAGAGGGGATCTAGTAAGAAGAATCTGGGTGAGTTTAGACTTGAGCAGGGTGGTACATTGATGATCTGCGTTCGAGATGGAGGGAGTTAACACCAGGAACAAAGATATATTTTTTTATTTTTAAAGAATCCGGGTGAGTTTAGACTTGAGCAGGGTGGTACATTGATGATCTGCGTTCGAGATGGAGGGAGTTAACACCAGGAACAAATATATATTTTTTTTTGTTTTTTTTATTTTTTTTAGAAAACAACTTTGCTGAAAACCCGTAGGCAATGCTTTTGGCATTGGGAATCTTAAATCCTTTATAAGACATTGCTCTTGTTCCCTGCTTTTCACTCTGTATATGAAAAGTAGCCCCATTAGTATAGTCCTACCGCTTGCCAAGTAATGGGAATTGATGTGCACGTGGTACTACAGACTTGCTGGAGTGGTTCTTTAGTCACACTGCCTTAGGTGCAAGTGGCAGGGAAAAAACAAACCAAACCTTATTAAAATACTTTGTGCCAGATATCATGAGTATACACGCTGAAATACGAAGTAGGAGATAAAAGACTTTTTCTCTCTTGTGCGCTTCTGTTTGAAATTTATTTTATGCTTTTCAGTCTGGCTGGTATTGCTTTAGAAAATAATAAGTATTTCCACAGAATTTAGCTGGAGATAGTTTTACACTAGAGAAAACTACTTGAAGATGTTGGATCTGACTTCTTTTGAGGCATAAAGAACGAGTTTTTAAACGCTCATTTCTTTTGAAATCAATATAAGAAAATAATAGTAGGAACAAAGTGTTGAATTGAAAACTTTTCATTGGTTTGTTGGTTTTTTGTTGTGGTTTTCTATTTTTTTTTTTTTTTAGTACTACTTAGACCTTTTGCTAGTCTTGATTTTCTGTGCGTGTCCAGTTAACTCTCAGTTCTTATTTTTATAGACAGTTACTGGGAAAAGCTTTGGAACCAAAGACTTCCGAGCAGCTCTAGAAAATGGAGTCCTGTTGTGCGAGTGAGTATTGACTACTCTATATAAAAATCCTTCAGGTTAACATCATTTGACCTCTTTTCTCGCTGGCTTCTGAATTATTTTTTTTTGAAGTACCAAGTATATTTTATAATACATAATTTTTTATTTTTTTTTTTAATGCCTGTTGTTTGCCATGGAAAGGAAGAGCAGCTTTCAGACATCATCTTTCTAGATGTACACACTTCATGTGTTACTGATGTGATCATGCTGATCCTCTGGCCACTTGATTGGTTTTATTGGTTATAATGCTCACGGTGTCACAAGGCTTTTTCTTCACCTTCTGCAAGGTGATGTGGCCACGGCTGGGATCAAAGCACTCGGTTACCCCTATACCCACTGATGTTCTTTTGGTTTTGGTTTTTGTCCTCCATCCCCACCCCCTTGTAAGAAAATATTGTAAACTCTGTGTGCTGGTTGTTCTCTAAATCCTGAAAGCTACCTATTCCTACCGGAGAACTTAACACTCAAAGTTTTATTTTAAAAAAGTACTACATTTCAGAAGTGAACTTGTAAATTAAAGGTGACAGGCAGGCATCTGATTTCACATGCTGTTACTTACTAATACTGTTCTTATGGTTACATCCAATTATCTCAGTAATGTAGAATCTATTGGATGTCATTTTGCATACTTTAAAAAAACATACTTTTTTAAAAAAAAAACAAACCAAACAAAAACCCAAACCAAACAAACAAAAAATCCAACCAAAACAACCCCACAACCCCCATGTCACTTCAGGGTAATAAAAGTAAGTGGATTTGGTCTCAGCATAACATAGAAATAAGTTGTTATGTATGACACGCAGTACAGGTCTTAGTACTTTCTGGATTGACTTAGTTATTGCCTTCAACAGCAAACTCTGACCTCAGCTCTTTTTGGAGTGCTTTCTCTAAAAGGCTTCCTTGTGCTTATATATTATAGGCTTGGCAATAATGAGACTTGTCTGGTTTCGTTGCTAGACTGAGTCAGAGGTGTAAAATGTCCACTCGTCAGGTCTCTTCTGCGTATCTGCAATTGGTTTTTTACTTACTGGAACAGGTTTCCAGGACTGGAAGCAGTGCTAATCCCTTAGTGTTTTAAGGAACGGCAGGTGTAAATGTCATTAGAATGCCAGGACGAGAGAAATCTCATTAGAGAATTACCTGGGATGCTTAAAAAAATATCTCAAATCTCAGAGCCACTCTTAAATCAGTTCAGCCAAACTAACTTTCAGAAAATATTTATAAAGGTTCAGTTCTGATTTATTTATTTATTTATTTATTTACTACATATCAAAAAATAACCAAAGCAAATACAAAAAGGCAATGTTCCTGCATTTTCCCTTCTGTGATTATTACTGTGGTTTCTGTCCTTGCCTTTATTCTCTTTGGGCCCTTTGCCCATCCAGTCTATCTTGCTACTTGCTTCTGCAGTTGTCTTTGGGATATGGAGGAGTTGATTCATTTTGAATGATCTGGAGATGTATTTTCATTTCTTATGTAATCAAATATTAACTAGACAATGTGGTAATGAAAATAGTTTATACTTTGAATAAGAAGGTATTTCTTCAGGTATGTATTTAGTGGGATGTGTGTATTGTATTCAGTTGTAACTTTTAAATAGTGTCTTTAAGAATTGGCAGTAAACTGATATATTCTAATCCTCTGATATCTTCATTGTTGATGCCTGTTTGGCAAAGGAATATGAGCTTCCATCTGCCAAATGCAAATCAGTTCAATCTATCTGTAATTAATAGCCATATGCAAGAAAAACATCCTCTAATTTCTTCAGCTGAGCAGCTTGCCTTAGGAAGCACACAACTTTCTTTAAAGCAAAAGCTGCCTCATTATGTTGCATTAAATCATATAGCTGTCCTCCTGTGTCATAATTTTAAATTTGACATGATTGAAGTACAAAGAGAAATTATTCTGTGGAAACGGGGGAAAAAAAGCAAGATGGGGAAGGTTTTCAGTTGTCCGATTTTCACCAAAGTCAATAGAGTACAAGTTCTTAAATAATTGAGACAAAATAGACGTGACATTGCCCGTTTCCTTGGTTCACCTGTGGCATGGCTAATTTAGTGTCCATGGATATATTATCTCTGGAAACAGTATATTTGATTTAAACTATAGCAGTTTGGGGAAACCCAAACCTTATTTAATTCCACTTTTTTTTTAACCTTTTTTTTTTTTTTTGGAAAAGTCATCAAATGTATTTAGTTTACTAAATAATTTAGTGCAGTTGAAAAATCGCGACACCTGCAGCCATTATTCCTTTTTTTGCAGGCACTTAGAAATCTATGGTCTATTCCAGTGAGCATAGGTAAATTCTGTTATTTTGTGTTTATTTTCCCAAGAAATTTGCTGCTTGAGCCAAAAAAAAAAAAGCCTTTTCCCACATAGACTTTTCAAGTCCTGGTCCTGACTGTGCGTTGGCGTGGGTAGATCACAAAACCTTGCTGATGCTTTGTGGGGTAAAAGCTCTGGCCAGACAAGCGGCAACAAGAAAAGGCAGCACGTCCCAAATCCTCAAAGGTATATAGGCAGATGAAGTCTGCAGGGTGTCTTGAGGTCCCCATTCTCTGTTGATCCTGTGGTCTAGTGTGTAATTTGGTGAACCACAGTATTTTCCTACCTCCACGGCTGAAAACCTGGTTATAAAGGTGCAGGGAATCCTGTGCCTCATCCTCACTGCAGGAGAAGGCATGCCTTTGGGCTTGCATATTCAACAGTGATGCATTACTCTGTCCTATCTTCTAAGTTTAATTATGAATTTTATGTCAATTAAGAGTGATATGAGGCGCAACCTCTTCTGGCTGAGACTGAAAATGACTTGCGCATGTAAATTATATGTGCCAATAAATGATTGTTGCACACATCATACGGGGCTTGATTGGGTTATGAAAACCGAGTTGGTTACCTACACTTACAGGAATATCAGTGCTTTCACACTGAGCTCTGAAAATTAATATTCTGATATATTTCTGGCATCTTCTGCATCAGAACTTTTATGTGAAGAAAACCTTTAAATGGGAAATTTGAGTCTGCTTCTACTGCATGGGTGGTGATGTTAAACACAGATCCATTTCTGCCTACGCCAACCCAGGCGTTTTCTTTTCTTCTTTCTCGCTTTGCCATTCTTGGAAATCTCTTTTTCTGTGTGTGACTTGTCCCATTTTTGCTTCTACAGGCTGTTGTTGCTTGTCACTTCTTGGAAAACTGATTTAAAAAAATAAATTTCGGGGGCGTTAGTAGGTGCAGATTTACTCAGTTCAAGTGGTATAAGTTAGGACTATATGTGAAGTATTTCTTAATAAGTATTGAATTTCATGCTTAAATAAAGTTGATTATGTAACAGAAAAATCATATGACTTCTTTTTAGTTTGATTAACAAGATCAAACCTGGCATCATTAAGAAGATCAATCATCTGCCAACTCCGATAGCTGGCTTGGTAAGTAATGACATCAAATCTAATATCTGGGGTATGACACCCAAGTTCTGCTTGGTTTTTAATGAGAGTTCTCTTGCCTATTATTGTTCCATGGTCTTGCTACCAAAACCTATGAAGTTTTCAAAATTTTAACTCCATTTCTACTTTTGTTTAAAATTATACCATTTATACATCAAATTAGACTGCAAAGGTTGCCTGTTCTGTGATTTGGATTGGTAACTGTAATCAGCTTATCAATGCTTGAAGTGTCATCATCCCTGGATGCATCAAGCACTGAGGGGCTCCTGTCCACAAATGCATATAGCATTTCTTGTCTTTAAATAAAGGCCACCATCCTATTTTATATTTACAAGCCACTTCAGCTGTCCCTTTATTAGGGCATGGGCAGACTAGGAAGTGTTCTGTGTGACTGGAGTATTTTTGGAATCTGTTTCTCCCCACCCACAGCAAAGCTTAGGTTGCATTAAAATAACTCTGATGCAAAGTCTCTCTTCAGGGTTCAGTTGAGGGATTTGCCAATGTTTTGGCTGTAAATCACGTTGTCAGAGGAGGGATGGGGTGGGGAAGGGTAAGGGGGGACATACATGTAATCATTTCCACAGGAAATTTAAAAAGATTTCCTGTATGCTGTTAGGAAATTTGCAGGCCAGAGACTGGAGGATAAATTATGCACAGGAAATTTAAAAAGATTTCCTGTATGCTGTTAGGAAATTTGCAGGCCAGAGACTGGAGGATAAATTTTGTAGCCCTTTAGAATCATAAACTCTCTTGTGTGTAAATGAATTAAAATAATTTCTTTCACCTTTTTTTTTCCCCCTATGAAAGCCTTGTTGGCTCTTGATGTCACTAAGGTATCTAGGCTGTTCAGTGCTGTCATGAGAACTATTGTGCTCATCTGAAAAGACCCAAGGTGAACAGGGATATAGGCATGATTCCTGTAACAAATGGAAGATCTCACCTTATGGTAAACATGCAATCTTGACAGTAGGGAAAGTTACCTGCTTTCTCAATAGGAGTGGAATGCAAAACATCTCTAGATACTTTTATTTATATGTTTTAATGGGATGAGCCAACAAAACATCTGCTTTTGCTGGTCAGCCTTGTATCTCATTAGAGAAGAAGTGTAGTTAACTTGGCTGGAGGTCATAAGATTGGATTAACTCGCCATATATTACTGTACAAGCTGAGAACGTGCTTTTCCACATCAAATGAATGTAGAAAGTATTAGTTGCCTTTGTCCCAGAAAAGCTCAGGGTATTAGGCTTGCGAATAATGAGTGCTGCACATTCTTTTCCCGTGAGGCATCCGAAAAAGAATTCAAATGAAACCAAAATCATTCTGGGGAGGACAGCACAGTTGTTCTATCAGCAGTTTGAGTGCCTAAATGGCCTCTGAAGTAGCCATTTGATCCAAGCCATAAAACCATAGGCTAGATTTCATTTTTGTGGTGACTTATGACTTGTTTTGAATCATAACCGTAAGAACTCCTGTTTCTCTATGCTTTTTCCTGTTTGTTACCAAATGCAAAAATTTGGAGTATTCATTAGGTGTGTAATTTATAGCTTACTTGAAGTGTACTGTTAGTTGTTTCTAGTTCCTACAAGCCTTCAAAAGTAAAGGAAAGGGGAGGAAAGGTGAATGATTCTCATAAACCAAGATCATCCAGCGGTATTGTTGTTAAAATACCACTTGAAGATAGCAATTGAGAGAGCTGCTGTTTTGTGTTAACCCATGGAAAAGGTTTTCCATAAATACTTCAGTATCACAAGATGGTGATTGACCCCATAATGGGAGGATTTCAGAAGATGGTGCTTGCGATGGCTTGTGGGAAGGGACATGTGTTTTCCCAGACTTGAGAGGAATGTGCTCAGTTATACTGGCTTTGAAGAGCCCAGCTTTCATCCCGGCGTGTAAAACTCAAACCAAAAAATGATGGGTTTCTTGCATTTATAGAAAAGCAAGCATTGATACCTGACAGGCTCGGGATACTGTGGCTGATGAACCATAGGATTTAGAGATGGAAGCAGCTTGTTAAGGAATTAGCCGGTAGGCTTGCTTGCCTCACTCTGGGAATGTTTTCATTGCTTGTCGGTTGCTTTTCTCACAAATTTGCTTCTAGATAGTGTTTTGTGTGGTTTCATATATATACTTCCATGGCTCTGACTTCTGCTGTTTTCAATGTATTTCAGTCTTGCATTAATTGCTCCCCACCAAGCCTTTATGAGATTTAGAAATTACAGTTGGGAGGGGGACTTTTTTTTTTTTTTTAAACCAGATGGAAAATTTTTACTTCAAGAGATGTCTTTTTTTTTTTTTTTTTCTCCTAAAGGATAAACAGATGCTGCAACTTGAATTTGAGTCTTGCAAATCCTGTAATCCAAACATCTTTTGATCATGTTCTTTCTACAGCTTCTTCATGGTCTTCTAGACTGGTGTCCTCAAGTCCATTTCCAAAGCATTTTATGCATTCATCATTGGGCAACTACCATCCATTTCTCTGTTGGCTTTTCTGATTAAAAGGAAACAAAGAACCTGTTTTCTTGACAGTTTTGTAGCAGTCTGATTATCAGCAGGAAACAAATGCTTTAAAAGACATCTTGTTCCTTTTTTTGTCTTTTTTTTTTTTTTTTTTTTTTTTTTTTTTCCTTTGTTGACCTTCAGGAATTTCTTCAGGTTTGGTTTTGTTCTCTAGGGAGTTAATATATTTCACTGCCATATAAGTGCGTTTTTTAAGCGTTGGGTTCACTTCAAATACTTGGCAGGGTTTTTTTCAGCAGGGCAGAAATACAGTGTTCAACAGGAGTCTTTGGTTTAATCCCCAGAAGGGTTTCATTATATTGTTTCTTTGACTTCACAGTTATTATGAAAACAATTTTTTTGAGTGAAATAGGAAGCAAAAGTCTATATGAATAATGAAACATTCTGTTTTACATGGAATATTGTGTGCTATACATTTTTTGTATTGAGTTAGGGTGAGGTGCTATTATTTGTTTAAGTGAAGGAAATGCATTATTTACTTGTTATGTCATATTTACTTTTATGACACCTTAGTTATAAAATCTAATAGGAATGTTACGTTAGAAGGATTGCCTAAATTCCAAGCACAGTTTAGACAAATGAAAATAAGCATTAGCTTTCACCTTTAGTTCGATTATACTGCTGTCTAGTGATTTTTTTTGGGTGTGGATCACAGTGGTTTGGGTATAATCATGGTGGAATGGATAAATAAATATATATGTTTTGATGATTAAATACTGAAGTGAAACTCAGCATTCAGTTAACAAAAAATGCTGAATTGTTACCAGGCAAGTATTAAAAATGATTAAACTTACCCTCAGTTTGACATGGTGCATGGTGGCTGGGTTGCAGCTTCCATGGGAGGTTTTGTTAAAACTTTTTTGGGAGAGTTGGACCTGGCCATAATGTGACCTCCATCTAGCAGCTTGCTGCTCCATTTCTCTTCTACCTCCCATGGTTTGGGTGAGATGTAGCCATCATCCTAGCCATGTTTATCTATTCATTTCTGTTCCAGTTTGGAAAACTGAACAGCTTCACAGGGGGTAAGGCGAGTAACGGAGCTGTTGCAGGGAAAAAGTGGTCAAAGAGAGGTGACTGAAGAAGAAATGTCCATGCAGCTCTTGAGGTGGTTTCTTGAGCAATGAGGCGTGCCATCTGCAGGGTGTAAAGGACTAACTGCAGCCAGTAGTCACAGAAGGATGCCACTTGTGGCAGGTTGATTTTTAACAGCTCACAGCAGGTTTTGGAAACAGTGATGTTCCCGTAGGTTTTCCAAAGGGACTTCGCTGGGACATGGCTGTTGGTTTGTTTACTTTAATTTTGGCCATTTTATTAAAATGCCACTTAAAACCTTTGCACTAAAATAGTTTTTGGAAAACAAAAATTTAATTTCTGCTTATCTTTCAAACTGTCCAAAATACACACTTTGTATAAAGAGCCATGCATATTATTTTCCCTACTACAGCAGAGCAGGCAAGCAAACCAGTACAGAGTAGCAGTTCCTGAAGCCCTCTGGCATTTCTGGGGGACATGGTAAGGATAGCCAAAAGGTCAGAGGATTGTGGAAGCAGGGGTCCCATTATGCACAGTAGTGAAAGTACAATCTGCCTTAAAAATCCGCGTTTTCTGGTCCATGCTTATGTGAAATAAAGATGGTATTTAAAGAAAATTACTCAAATTGATAAATCTTGCTGGGTTCAGATGCTGCAAAATGATTTTGCTTAGAGTTCTCGGGGGGTTAGAGGAAATAAAATGAATGCTTATTAAAAACAAACACAAAGAAAACCTGCTTCTCAATAAATACAGATTTTTCAGCTTGAATCCCAGCATGTGAGAAGGTTTGGATATAATCGCATAAGGGGGAGGACTTTGTGGTCTGACAACATATTTTCCGACAAGGCTGTGCCGAGCATTTTCAGAGGCGCATCTCTGGTTGCAGCACCGTTGTTCCCCAGAAACCTCACATCTCCAACTCAGTTGGCTGAACACAGAGAGTCATAAACTGGAATAGAAGTCATAAGACATCATGAGACAGTAGGAAAATGAATGAGTTTTGTATAGCGTATGCAAGCACAACGTATCTGTCAGAATAATACGTTGCTCAGGAGGAATAACTGTATGCTCTGTAGCCGGGCAAAATTATAGTTTAAGTTTCCAGCTGAGATAAGACAGTGAAACAAATTCAGAGTTGGAGTCAGTATCTCCTTTGGAGAGTGGTAGCTAATGGGAATCTTGCCTTGCAATGTACCAATTCGGTCTTCTAAGACCATCTGTCTTTCCTCGCAGCTCCTGTGAGTGAGATGGAAGTGCAACGCTTTGCTGAGTGGTTGGGAAGTGTTTCATCACATCAGAGGCGTGAGGGCTGTGGTCAAACCACAGGGCAGAGTAGAAAGGTGTTGTTGAGTTTTTAGAATTGTAAATGAAATGCCATTAGTGCTTTTTTATTTTTATTTTTTTTTAACATTGGTCCTTCATTTCAAATG